TTACTTCAAGTTTTTTTCTAGTTGAGATTCGGTTGCGCTAATGCCAAGGACCGCACAATCACACGCTTTTTCTTTCAAGCGAGTTTAAAAAGCCAACTCGAGCATGCTGGATTTCAAATAAAATGCCACAACATTCGGGTTTTGAGTGCGTGTTACGTTAATAAAGAATATGAACCAAAGTAGTGACCTACAAACTCCTTTCTTGGACCGCCTCCTATTCTGCGATATATATATATATATATATATATATATATATATATATATATATATAAAGGTGGTTTGATATCTACAAAAGAACAAAAACAGCTTTAATGTGCAGCTTATGTATTTTAACCTGTATTTTTCTTTTCGGCTGAAAACTTCCCTTGGATCTAATTTTGAAGCAAGTTTCCATTATTTATTACATTGTGTACAGTTTCTTCACTTGAGAAATGCCTTTCGTTAAGAGTGTTCGGTAGGGCTCTTAACATTTATTCAACATTTCATATAGAAAATTGCATTACACTATATATTTTTGCACTATCCTGCAAGCTGACTTCGGTAGTAATTAGCTAGAAGTAATGAATTAGTTGAAATAATTCACTATTTCAAGTAATTTTATTGGGAGTAACATTTACAATTTTCATTTGTATTGTCGCGTGCAAGGTCCCAAGCATCTCATTATGTCTCCGCAGCCAATGAAATTTTGGCATTAGTAGATAACACAGCCGTATAACGAATCAGGTAGAAAACATATGCACATGCGGAGGCAAAACCAAAACAAACATGGCCGCACTTCCGAGGTGAGTATGCTGCTTCCGGTTGGGCATTCTTTTTGCTGTTTTTGAGGACCCGAAGTGATAGATTTCTTTAAAATATACACCGCCGATAACTGACTGCGGTACCACCTGGAATTTAGTTATACTGAACCGACATGCCTTCCAGATTCATTGGGTGAAAAAAAGAGCAGTTGCTCCACAAGTCCACCGAAGCTCTCATGGGCGCATCGTCACGACTACCTATCCGAGCCACCAGGTCCATATACCAGAGTGTCGACTACTTCGTGAACGGCAAGGCATTGGAAAGGAGCCCCTACCTGCCCCAGGTGCAGAAGTTACGCGCCGACCCGCGCAAAATTGTAATAATTATAGAATTCCGTGAGCCATCCAGTAACCCACTGTGAATTTTCTAAAAATTCATAGGTCCCACCTCTTCCTGCCTCGGTAATTGTGCAGGACTTGACCGGCGTATAAAGAACTAAGCTTGCACAATGGCTGATGGTGGACTCTACTTTTATCTCCGTTGCTCAGAAACTTAAGACATTGCGTTGTCGCTTGGGTCGCAAGTTGAATGAGTTACCCTTTCGTTTAGTTTTACTTTGTCACGTTTTTGACATGTTTGCGAAATCTTTGTGTTCCATTTCTGGATCTATCATTTGTAAATAGTCAGTCTGAGAATTGACTAAAATTCAGAGAGCGGCATAAACACAAGTGTATGCATTCTAAAAAAAATAAAAAGCTTTGACGTGCAGTTGTTCTAATAGTATGCCCAGATTATCGCCCATTTTGTCCCAAGTTCGCCCGTTGTTGGGGCCTAATATGATTTTGCTCCAAGGCGTTAGTTCTAAAATTCTGCTCTTTTACTTTTTAATGGCTTTCCTTTGGCCTGTCCTATAATTGCCAAAGTGCCAAACTTCAGGTAAAGATGCCACACATCAACCGAACAACCAGCAGTGCAGCCTAATTCGAGCGCTATTCTGGCAATCTTCGCCCAAAGTTGCCACATAAAAAATGAACGACTAGTACTGAAGAATTGCCTTGGCACTTGTTTGTCGATTAGGCACAAGGGTGCCGGGAACTACAAGTCAGTGAAGATTAACCTTGAATTTTGTTCCAGACCCAGACTCGGGCCAAAAATGGTCAAGTTTGGTTCTACATGGATTTTTTCGGGCTTATTAAGACCCTAAATTCCCAAACAAATACATATTTGGGCCAAGAGAACTGTGCTACCCGGACTGCTGTCGAATCTCTGCAAACTGCTGACCGCTGGCGTCTGTTTTTTCGAACAGTAAATACAACTTATAAGAAGCATAGCACATTATTTTTATTCGTGGATACAAATTTGTTATACAGATACCACAAGAAACGTAATGATGGGATATAGCAAATACGATTACCATTCTTTCAATGGAATTATTAAATATAGCACCTTAAGTTTGTGTTGAGAATTATTCGGGCAAAGGAATGGGCAAGCAACTTGTACCGTACCAAGTAATGCAATACATTATTTTAGACGTAATTCGGAACGGTACTTTGCTCATCTAGTAATTAAAATCTATAATACTTTTTTAAGTAACGACCGCAGGTCCGCAGGCTGCAAGCCCTTGACTGCAGTGAAGCGCGAAAGGACAGGGACAAAGAGAAGGATGTAACGCCCACACGGGCTCGTGAAAAAAACAAGATGGAAAAGTTCAATGCGTTTCGTCGACTTAGAGAAAATCGATTTCGAAAGGTCATGAATCAAACGCACAGCAAAGTTGACCACAATTGGCGAGGACTGAAGTTTGCTCAACTCGCGGACCTAAGTGAATGAAGGAATTTTTTAAATTCACGCAAAGCAGAGTAAAATAAACAGCTGCTTCTTTCGACTCAAAAACAACTATGATTTCTCTTTAGATTTTGTTGACTAATTAAAGGTCATTTGCTTTCGCGCAACATCTTTTTTTTATAACTGTTTGTTCTTCCATTTTGACGAATATTTTAACCTCACACAACTCTCCTACATAAATAGTCGTATCGTTCCACGGCGTTTGCACAACACAACCCTGCTGGTTCAAGGGGACATCTAATCAGGTAAGAGTTTGTTGTTTTTTTTTTGTTTTTTGTTTTTTGCCTAAAAGTTACCGAAATATCTTTACGTCTAAATTTTTCGAACCACGAGAATCTCAAGTTGTCTTCTGGTTAAAATCTATCGAGCACAGCAAATAAGAATGTTAGATCGCCACCTGTCAGCTGCACTGCGGCTCCGCATGCATGAACGTTTCTTTATGTTAGTGTACCTTGTTTCACATTAAGCCGCAGTGATAAAAGTGCATCGCTACGAAGCTTGTCGTCTTGATGCGCTTGCTTTCACCGGCAAGACCAATCGCACACTGTGAATTCGCAGTGATCTCCTGGTTTCTTTTTGTGTGTGATTGATTTCAATAGTGATAACTCATGCACAAAATCGACGAGCGTCATGACAATGCACTTTTTGCGCTGTCTGATTGACTTCTTCGGATTTTAGCGCTGGTTTTGCTCGGACTTCTTGTGAAACGGAGGGTACTGCGATAATCGGGAGCGCAAGTTCGCTTCTTTTGCAGGGGTTGTGGTGACGTCAGAAAGGCGCCGCGCTCTGATTGGCTCTGATAGAAGGATAGTGGGTAGACCTCAAAGCAAGCTGCCTTCATGTCTACCCACTGTCCTTCAATCAGAAGCAATCAGAGCTCGGCTCTCTGATGTCACCACAACCCCTGCAAACGAAGCAGACCAACTTGCGCTCAGAATTTCAATGATTAAATGACCACGTGCAACTTGCGTAACCGAGAAGAAGTTATCATCCATGGTTACTGGGGTGGCGGCTTTTAAATCAGTCCTGAGTTTACGCATCTTAAATGCATGCGGATAAATGTGTTAGCGATATTCATCTGAAAGGATAGTCCAGAATATACAATTTTTTTTTTATTTTTGTGACCTTTGCACCATTTAAGTGGGATTGGCAATTGTTGCCAATCTGGAAACATGACTTGGAATATACTTGATCCGAAATCGAACACACGCATTTGAAGAAAAAGTAAGAATCGGCAAAACAGTGAAGTGTCACTGAGTTGGTGAAGTGCACAGGCCATTAAAACTAGAGAAGGCAATATACTTTATGGCTGTACAGTAGTATTTAAGGCAAGTGAAGATGGGGGGGGGGGGGGGCCGTAAAGCTATGTTGTGATAAATAATGTCATAATTCTCTTAGTCTTTAGTGTGTAGCCAATGATTTGTTCCTAAACCTTAGATTCACCATATTAAAATATATGACCCCTATGAGTCATCCGCTGTCATATTATATGAAACGCCATATCACATAGAATAAGCATTTTGAATGAAGAACCCACGGGGTCAATTTATGTTTGGCCAGGGTTGTTTGTCATGGTTTTCTTTTCAGATGGCAAGTAGAGGAGTTTGTTTTCGTCCACTACATTTAATATGTTGTACATTTATAATATGTGTAGTGTATGTTAAGGAGGATGGTCTCTAACATCTTAAAATTAGAAAATAAAACTACTTAATTTCAAAGTAGTTTCTATGGGTTCTTATAAAGCATTTTTTAAATGGGCTCTATGGATGATTGTCTTTTTTTAGATTAGAACATAGTTTTACACGCACATACTTCAATCTAAATAAAGTCTACGTTATATGCGCATGTAGTTGTATCTGATTTTTGACGGCTGGCACAATTCATATATTTCTTCGTTATTTATTTAAAACTTTTGTTTTTCCTTACAATGAATATAATAGAACAGGCATCCAAAAGCATTTCAACAAGAGTGTGGTCACACTTCGCCAGGGTCTTGAACACAAATGATAAACAAACACATCTGTCAATAGCACGTTGGGAGTATTACATTTTAAAAGATTGCTCTGTGTAGAAAATGGGAAACAGAAACCTAAGTTCCAGCAAAGCAGCAACAGTGTGAAATCCCGAATATTTAGCAAGTTACACAAACAATGAGAGTTTGTCTAGGAATAAGGAAACATTATTGCAATCAACTATGTGACTAGGCAGTGTATTCCAATCGGATGTTGTTTGTGAAAAGAAAGAACATTTTTAGATGTCGACTCGATAGTGGTGTTCAAGGATTGTTTTTTTGTGTGTAAAAGACTTTTATGGCCAAAAACGAGAATTAACAAACTAAAATCAAATACAACACTGACTTTCATTGATATAGATTACTAACTCCGATAACTTGCAGAGTCATTTTTGCAGCAGGAATGAGGACAATCGTTCTACTGACTGTGATCGCATTGGGAGGTGTGTCGCTGATCATGGGAGACACTATTCACCGCCACCATTATGGAGTTTCATTTGAAGACGGTAGTACACAATTTTCATTCTCTTGAAAATGTTCTTCGGGCGATTTAATTTGTGGAATCGTTAGTTATTTAAATCACGTTTAAATTGTTATAGTTCCTTATTTAACCATTTTTTTCATATATTATTTAATTTAATGTTTTATTACAGTACCTTCAGGACCCAAATGCGTTTTTTGTAATAGATGGGACGAAAATCTGTAGTTGGAATACGAAAAATATCAGCCACATCTATCATCTATCAATCACTATATTATTCGTTGCTTAGAACACTGGTGGTACAATCATATAAAAACCGACACACTCTGTACTTCACTCCCTAATTTAAACCAAAACAAAAAAAGCTAAAAAAAAAAAACTTTTGTACTTCTTCTCGAAGGTGTATCGTCGTTCCTGTAAATAGAACTCGCCCAAGTCATATTCTTTCTTTCTTGATTTATTTTGCTCTTATATGCCACGGTATGCTAGGCCTCAAAAAACACAAATATTGTGTTTTTTGTGTTAGCCTTAAACCACTTGTACTTGGGAAAGAAAACCGATACCTTTTCGGAACAATGCGAAATATTTGTTTCTCTATTGAGTGAAGTCATAAATCAATGCGAGTGGGGATGGGAAGTGAAATGTAAAGTTACAAACTCCGGGTGTTTCGTGAGTGCGCGTGTCGCTTCCCCGGGAGCCGATTTTGATGCATGATCACATACGAGACAAAATATCCTTTAGGCCGGAGGTGAAAAAAAAAACCAAAGTCAAAAGGCCTACCTAAAATATGTAGAAATTATAAAACCACGTTATTAAATCACAGCTGATCGATTCTAACAGCGTGGGTTGAGAGCTTAGTGTTATTTTTACCATATTTTCTTATTTGATATTAAAATAGTAGCAGGTAATTTGACTACATAGTGCAGATAATTTTTCACTGTTCACCTCTTTACTTCATATTTCCAAAGCCAAGCCGCACATGAAATTGGTTTGCTCTGCCTTTGATACTTGCGCTGTGACACATACGGGTAGTCTGCATGGGAGCAACCCAAAGTATAAAGATATGATTTTCCTCCCAGTACCATACTGGGACCTGGAGAGCGTCATACGACTTCTTCCGAAGACATTGAGCTTTTTCAGAATCAAAGAGGCCACCACTAGAGTCACTGAAAGGTTGTTATGTTCACGCTTATATGAGTGTGGTTCATTTATCGGCATCGTTATGAGCTCAACACGCGATCTCATTGGCTGAGAAACGATTTTAATAGGCTGAAGACTCACCACGCACTGCGCTTAAGCTAAGAGTCACGAGGTTCAACAAAGAGGTGGTTTTGGAAAGAACTCTCAAAGGAGGCTGAAGACTTAGAATAGATGAACTAACCTTTTCCACGTGTTACAGTATTGCACTTTGGACCCGGTTTCCTACTTCCTTGGTTCGCCCCTACACCCATCAAACTGGGGCGGCGGGCCACCCATAAATGCGGGATGGATGGATGGGTGGATGGATGGATGAATCCGGCTAAGCCCTTTGGATCGGGCGGTAGCTTACGCCACTTAGCCATTTTGTGCTATCCTATGAGACGGACACAGCGCTACCTGCAGACACTGGAACGCTGATACGAGGTTTCAGTGGCATGGAATAGAACAACACTGCTAGAGCAAGTCAGCTTTAGGAAGCGCGAGCAGCTGTTTCGAGAAACATCTGATATGTAATATTCAAATTTACACGAACATATTGTGTTGGCTTATTTCACAAGGTGCCAAAGAGCTCATATCCACAAAAATAAATATCAGGCGCTGCGTCCGTGATGCATAAATAAAAGCGGTAACACCGTATTAGGCTGAGCTTCGAGAGAACATTATATTCGCCAAAAATATTTCACCCTAACAAAATAGGCAGAAAACAGACACACCAAAGTTTATTTGCTTTACTGCAACATTACCTCACTGGGTTGACTATTATGGAGACGCCAACATTTTCTCCGGTACAAAGGGTATCTTTTCTACCTTTTCGAAAACCTTCGAAGCCATGTCGTCAAAGCATTCCCGGCTTCGAAGGTTTCCTGTATTGCTGTTTCTTGTATTGCTGTTTCTTGGCACCGTCGTCTTTTTAACGAGCGCCTGTTTGTTTCTAGATGCAATGTGGATTTTCCAACACCTTCGGTGCCACTAAGGTTGCTTCTTATAAATTTGCAAAACGCGAGAACGTTCCGAGGAGAACATTCAAGACGCAGCACCACAAGCGGTTGTCCCTTTCGCTTCTCCTCCGCTCACGACGAGACTCATCACACACGACCTTTTCTGCACCACGCACATCCGAGGGATGCGACAACACAGTGTTGCCGCCATGGAAGTTTTCTTTTTTGTTTCGAATATTTAGACTAAATTTGTGATACTCCGAGATTGTTTAGCGTGAAATGAACTAGTTAAATTTACATATGAGACGAAACTCTGAGGTATGTGAGTAGCTATAATGTGAACATTGATGTATATTAACGTTTCAACGCATTCTTTTACCGTTCATTCTGCAGGTACATGCAAGTACCGCAATCAAACACTCAGAGATGGAGGCTCTGAAAAATTTCAGTACCCTTGCGAACAGTGGTTTTGCAATGTAACAGCAAAAACACTTACAGTTACAGGGTTTGTAATTTATATTCTCACTGTTTGCTGGAAGCCATCGGGCAAAACCGTAGCTGTAGTTTATTATAAAGCGAGTGCATGTCTAATTTTTATATCTCTATGAAATTGACGGCTAGTGTTGTTGTAATACGTTAAACGTTTCAAAGATGTAAATATAAAGATGTTACAATGGCTAGAAAAATATGATAACCTTTTTTTCCTCCTTAATTTCGTTGCATCAGCAAGACCACTATATAATCACGTTCAGGATACCAAGAAAAATCGCTGATTTGCTGGTACCAGCACTAGCAAATAAGTTTTTTTTTTACAATAAATATATACAAATTAATTAAATTGAATTCTCATAAAGGAAATATGTGTTTACACATTGTTTACCTATTAAAGCGAATGCATTACCTGCCCCATGGACCGCAGCCGACGTTGGCTGTGATCGCGAAAAAAAGGCATCTAAATAAACGGCAGTTAAAATGGCTGCGACGCGTTCCTATTGGCTGTGAGGCGTCATATCAGATGCTTCGTCCCGGAAGTCAGGGGGGCACACAAAGTCAAAGCAAACGCGCCTAAAAAAGAAAACACAAAGAAAAGCACAGCAACACCGATCCACCGTCGCGGAAGGCGTGGAGCCGGCGGAGTTCGCCGCGCATGCGCAGTGGGGGAGTGTGATGTCACCGCCGGAGCGCCATGTCCGATAGGAAGACGCGGCGCTGTGTTTTTGTAGGAATCCGCTGCGTGTATGAATGCTTTCGCATTCCTTCACGTAAGCAGTCTTAATTGTTATTCCTTCAAGGAATAAACATTTCCTGTTCTACGGGAATTTATTCGTCTTAAAAGAGACCTTAACGAATGCATTACATACCTAATCAATTCACATCTCATAAGCCCTCTTTCACTGGATATCTTAGCTGTGATACGCAGGCGGTAGTTAACGATGATGGAAAAATAAGTTAAATACTTTGCCATTTGAAAGACGTATTTTATCATCAACAGAAAACAAATGTTGCAGTCGGTGTTGGAATTAGCCACAATATTTCTGCGAACCCAAAAAGTAGACTCAAATTACTATAGAAGCACTTAAACATAAGCACAATTAAGTAATGTATGGTTGGAATGATACATGTGCAGACAGGGTATTTATAAAAAAAACGAAATTTTTGTCAAGTGCCTTGAGTTTGGTACAGAGTTTGGTACACTCATATTTGTATAAGTATATTACACAGTAAATTCAAAATCGACATTAATAAATGATAAGGATGTTTATGCATTATTAACAAGAACGCCTAATTTGTAGGCATGTTTATTCTCACTCATCTTTACAATACATTATTTTATCCATGCCCGTTTCTAAATACATTGGGTTATAGAAGATGGTAATTTGGACCAGTGGGTTCAATATCGAGGAGAGGCGCCAAAAAAGCACAAGGGCGAGAAGGGACGTAAACACTAGCGCCAGCGTTTACGTATTTTCTTGTCCTTGTGCTTTTTTCGGCGCCTGTCCTCTATCGGGGTTATAGAAGTCCAACATTTAAATACCAAAAGGTGCACTTCACTTTTTCTTAGCTTAGGCAGACTAAACGTTTAGAATTTTAGATATCGTGATGTATTCCGGGAAATCATTGCAATCGGTGCACACAATCTAGAACTCTAGAAGGTGGGCGAACTTAAAATGTTTACTAAAAAACTCAAACACTGTGAAAGAGAAAGGACAGGCAAACACAGAGGCCACTGTGTGTGTGTGTCCTTTCTTCTTCGCAGTCTCGGTTTATTTTTAAATTGTTTAAGTACAACCAGCTTGTTTGCAGCCTAACCTTCTATTCATTAAAATATATATGCATGTTCGGGTTTCAAAAAAAAAAGTATATTCCATTTTATTCCTTTAGGTGCAATGTCCGGCGCTATGGAAGTTGCGTCTACATGCACAACCGTAATTTCTACTGGCCATCTTGCTGCCCGCGTCGTCCGCTCTGCTAACGTAATTTCGAAGTTAATCGAAGTTACCACTTTTGCGAATAAAATTGTTTTCCTACAATTTTTACAAACAACTCGCTGCGCTTTCTTATAGAGACACTGACACTCTCCAAATTTGTTTTTCAATTTCCTGCAAGACGATTAATTTCAGTGTCAGAAGATTACCCGATCAATATCTTGTTACAGTGTCACATATATTTTTAATAAAGTCATAAAATGCAACTCCTCGATACAGAAACCGCACCTGGACTATGGATGAAGAAAAAATAAAGATTAGTATGATACCGAAAATCATGTAACTGCGCGCCTTGTTTTTTTAATCAACGTATTTGCAGTTTTTTGTTACTTTTAGAAGCCAGAAAAATGGATATCACATTTTTTTATCCCTTCCTAGTATTGAGAGTGTATCTTCGATGACCCACGACTTTGATTATATTTGGTGGTTTTGTCTTAATCATAAAAAAACGGTACATCGCCAAGGAGCAGAGAATGAGCGCGACTCGAACCGGACAGTTCTCGATCGCTGTTTTCGAGCGGAAAGAAAACGAATTTCAAGCTTTTAATTGTGTTCTGGGTAGCTGGGCTCTCATATATCATGTACAAATAAAAAGCTTGAAGTCATAAATGCTCCCGGCAGTTTCCCTTTAAGTTCCAACTTCACAAACCATTATGATAAACAAAAAGGGTAATCCGATAACCACTTCACTGCTCCTATAATTTTTTTTTTTTCATTTTAATCTCTGCACCTCTAATTTAAATCAGATGTGGAACCAGAAAGGTAGCCAGGGGGGGGGGGGGTGTGGAAAGGGGGGGGGCATGGGACCCGGGCTCCCCCCCCCCCCCCCCCCCGATATCGTCCATTTTGCTAAGGCCTCCTCTCCCCCCCCCCCCCACCCCCCATACACCATTTTGTTTAGGGTTGCCCCCCCCCCCCCCCCCCCCCCCGAAACAAAATCCTGGCTACGTGCCTGTGTGGAACTAGTGCCTAACACGCACAAGCTGCTCCAAGTTGCAGATGCTCAGAACCAGACCTAGAGAAGCTGTCGGTCTGCCGAGGACTCGGCAACTGATAATAATGTATTCCCAGGTACTCATAAGCATGTTTCGCGTTATCAATAGGCTTTTTTTTCTCTTAATTTGTTGAAAAGTGTGAATATTGGGACTTAAACTTTGCGTTTCATCTCTTGTTTGGTCGAAAGCTCTTGCAGAGGTCAACAGATAAATCACAAAAGCACTAATGGCTCTCATATCGTCCGCGATTGTTATTCTAACACGGCTCCAGGGCTTTTATCGTGATCAACAATTTCGCATTAAAAAGCCCAGGCTAATTTATTTCTTCGGGTGCGCAACAGAGTGTATAATAGTGTAAAAGAGTGTGGTTTGCTGAGAGGGCAAGAATACATACTTGCCCTCTCAGCAAACCTACTCTCGAACAATGATGATGATCCGCTGGGTCATTGACGGCGCTGTGTTGTCTGTGACGAGCGAGACAACAGAGGATGGCTGTGCGCCGTTCTAGTGCAAACACCACCGCTGAACCCACGTCCTTTCTTTAGTAAAGGGCAGCAATGAAGCTTTTGCACGGCCTGACTTTCGCCAGCGTCTAGATAACCGTATTGTTTGATTGCGGGCCTATTCGAAAACGAATAGGTGAGTCTTTTAACCTTGAACACTTTGTGTCTAAAAAAAACTTGACTTTACATCGTACAGTCTTAAAGTGGAGGCGAGGTGATATATGTTCAACATCACGGTAAACCCGAAGCTGGGTTGAAAAAGGGTGCAAGCAGTTGATCAATAAAAAAAAATGGAGGCAAACAACAAAACTCACTCACTGTTTATGGTTTTCCTAGTGTGTAATGCACATAAAGGGCTTATATTCTTAAAAGAAGACGGATCCGTGAAGGGACGCCGAAGTGCGAAATATGTTTTTTGAAGGATATTATGGTTTTTGTTTTGTAAACGTTCCACAAAAAAAGAATTGTTTTTTCAGCGATATTTACGGCGTTACACAGAAATTTAAGGAAGGTAGACCTGCAGGGTTCTTACAAAACTGTCTGTCCATGCCGTAATAGCATTTTGATCGACAATAGTTTTGTTTGAGGGACAAAAAATCTACATAGAGTCGTTACTGTTTGCAAAAATATCCCGATATTTCCTTTTCGTTTTGGTTTCAAACGATAACAAACACGGCTGCGGTATCTGCGGAGTGATCAAATGAGAGCAGCTTGACCAGCTCGTCTATTTTAATGAGTGCGAGTCGTTTTGCGTTCACCGAGGTGTTTAGACAAAGATCCTTTCGACCGATCAAGTTTGCAGCACATAACTGTCGCAAGTATACGCCTTCGGACGCGCTGGTGACGCTGTGCCGGTGCTTGGGTTTCTTAGTGGGTGGTAGCGGGACTGGCCTAAGCCTAGCTTCCCACTTCGGCTATAGGCTGGTCCAAGTCCCCAGGCTCGATCTAAAATGAACCGTAAAATTTGACGCCTGCACGTAGTACTCTAATCTTTTCGTCAAAGATAAATTTCACAGCTCAATTTCTTTTTTTTTTTTTTTTTTTGTAAAATTACAAGGCGTAGCTCTCTTTCTGTAAAAAATGAGGCCAAAAAACTTGCTAGGGTCTACGGCGGGCAGCGACACAGACTACAGGGGTTCAGTAGCGGGGTGTGTTTGGCGTTCGTATTGATAGATGGCGCTACCGCGTCTGCATAACGGCGGCGCTTTTGCTGCCAACGGATTTCCTCTGCGTGTCGTCTGCTTTCTTTCGCTGGTCGGCTGCACCCAACGTTACTATAAAACTCAGTTGGGAAACTCGCCGTCAAAACCTGGGCCGCTGGCGTCCACCGAGACCGAGCTAAATACGACAACAGCGTCACTCTTTATCATTTGTCTGTACTGTGGTCACCTTGAGCTTTTAGAAAGCATGTTTTTGTGTAAAAACAAACGGAAAAGACTCCTTTTGTATGAAATTTTTTAGTTTGGTAAAAAATGAAGGACCCGTGATGTTTTTATAATCTTTAGTTTGCAAGGTTTTGCGGAATAATTAATATTGTTTTTATACAACCATGCCTCAGCGGTGCTTTCAGGTAGCGCATCCCGACCCAGGTGCATTTTAACTTTGGTAGTAATTCGCGGCGCGTCCGCTGAGGAGACGGGGGTGGCACCCCTGAAACCTCTTCCGCTGTATCTGTTTCGGCGCCAAAATGGCCGCTGCGGCAGTTCCTCGAGTGGCCGCTGCGGGAGAAATGGCGGCGTTGTGTTCGCCATTAGCTCGGTTGTGGATGACAGATTGGGGGCACTTTTTCAGAGCTGTCTCTATGGCAGTTTCCCAACTGAGTGGTTCCAGTAACGTTGGCTGCACCTTCAGACGCTGCTCCAGACGCCATATATCAATACGAACGCCAAACACGCCCCGCTACTGGACTTGGTCGTCTGGGTCGCCGCCCTCCGTAGACCCTGGCAAGTTTCTTGACCCTATTTTTCACTAAAAGAGAACTACGTTTTATAATTTTACAAGAAAAAAACCGACCTATGAAATGCAGCTTTGATGAAAAGTTTACATGGCGACGTGCGGGCGTCGATTTTCATGGTCCATTTTAAATCGAGCCTTGTGACTTGAACCACCCTATGTTGGTTGATCTCGAGCAATTTGCTCCTTTGTGCATGTTGATGCTGAATGCAGATATTGGTTCCAGTAAAAACGGCACTGCTGCTCTGTGAATTGTGCGGACGTTGTGATTGCGACCGCTTTCAATACCGAGAAGATACATGCAAATGTATGAATTTGCGAGAGATTTGGCTGAAGGCAATCGCGCTTTCGGCTCGCATCAAGTTCGACCAGGTTTGTTCCCGTCATTTTTCTTCGAAAGAAAAGTAGCTCTCAAGGTTTGCAGTGCACCTGGCCTGGCAAAGCGAATATATTTAGGTCGCGTTTTAGTTGTGCGCCATGACACTCATCCACCTTGCTCCCGGACGCCATGTTGAAAATAATAGGGACTGAAAAGCTGGAAGGAGTACATATTTGTTGACTTTGTTCAGTCTTCTGGGTCGTTTTTACCGCACTTTCACGGACGCTGACAGACGCTTGTATTGGAGCGTGACTTGTGAATGATAAAACGCTAGAACGCCGCTTTCATTGTCGCGTCTCGCAAGCATGGCAGACGTTTTGAGACGGGGGCGGAATAGCAGACGGACGAAGAAGAAAACGGACGCCGACGCGCAGCTTCCATCTCCGCGTCTGCGCATGACAAATGACGATCAACGGTTGTGTGGCAGAGCAGGCGATGTCGGAGGCTGCCACGGGTCTGCTCGCACGACTAGGAGGCGGTGCCAGACTTCCAGACGCACCGAATGACGCCAAAGGAAGTACTACACTCGTTAGCCCGTTCGGTCGAGCAGCCAAGTCATTCCAGTAGTAATAGGCGGAGCCACTGATCTGTGGGCGGGGCATAGAACGGGCCGTGACCTCCACCTAGATTGGGTCTAACGCCAGCGCTATTATATTTATAGTAAATTCGCTCCTCTTTTTAACAATTTTCTCCTTCCCTTTTTCGAGAACGATAAAACCTTTGAGGGACGGTTTTTTTTTTTTGTTTTTTTGCCATTCTATGTTTTGTTGTTCAATGAAGGAAGTCCCGTTTCCGTCCTCGTCCTCGATGTTTTATCTTTTCAAGCATTCGTATTAAGAATGGCCTTTTTTAAAATTATTTTCAAATTGATGAATATGTACTTGTAAATTTCTGCCGCCTACCAGGACAATAATATTTCATGCAAATATGAACTATATACTGGCAAACACACTGGCGATGTTTGAGGACCTTAGCTTTTATAGATGCGGAGAAAAAAGAACTTCAATAAAGAGCGTTATTGCGCAACGTGCCGTATTTGAAATTTGGTTTCTCAAAATAACGACCCTAATACTCGGTGATTATTACGTTTTATGAATCCTTCCTATGCCTAAGTTGACAGTAAATATTTCTAGACTCGTAGCCAGAACAGTGTTGTT